AGGAAATTTATTTTTAAAACATTTTGATAACTGGATTTCAAGATGACTGGTTTCCTTTTTAATCTCTTTTTTTTAAAATTTAAAAACATTATTCTGAGAAGGCATCCATAAGTTCCATGAGACTACCAAAGAGGAAGTCCCAAAAAAAGTTAGAAGCCCTAAAACGTTTCCAGCCTTGGACTGTGTGTTAGAGGGGCCTAGATGCAAACCCCAACTGTGCCTCTTAACAAGTTGCGTCTACTTGGGCTAAGCACAGATTCCTCATTGCTTAAGTGGGGACAATAGTAGAAACTAACTTCTAGGGCTGTTGCAAGGATGAACATGTCAATTTTTTAGTTCAATACCTGGCATAGTTAGTGTTAAGCAATATAGGCACATGAAATGTAAGTCACACAAGATAAAAAGCAGAGCGTGGGGCTGACGATGACTTGTCAAGCTGCGGTCTTAATTAGAAGACTAGGAAAGAAGGACTTATCTGATGGATAAGTTGGCAAAATAGGCCAAGTCTGCTAAGCCAGTTTAAACAATGGGGTTCAATGTCCCTGATATTTGTCACTACGTCTTTGGGGAACACATTAATGAGCCAATTAATGACAACAAGGAATTTGCTGCATTGTAAGAAAGTATTCCATAGAGGCCCTTTTAGGAATCTAAAAATAAGAAGGCACTTCAAGCTTGGCGTAGTTGTAGACCAGCCTCAATGCCCACTGTTGATCAGTTACCTCCTTACACCCGTGGGCGGTCTGCCAGGTGACCTCAGCTGGGAGTGATTCACTGGAAATAAACTGGCAGAGCAAAATTTGGAGCAACTAAGCGACAAAAGAAAAACAAATCCAGAAAGCTGAGTAATGAATTAGAAGACTCAGACTCTGCCAGGAGGCAATCTCAGTGCCATGCTGTGATGTGTTAGTGCATTTTCACCTTTTCGGATGGCTCAGAGCTCTTGGAGGTGCAGTGGGGCAGTGGAAGGTCAGGATACCTTATGACACTGCCAGAGAGAGGATGTTTCTATCGTTCGACCATTTCGCTGTGGTCTAACCTACTATGATTAGGAGTAGTTTCTTATATCTTTCCCTACATGTTTATATGCTGGACACTTTACATTTTCCTCACAATACTCTAGGACATAGGTATTATTACCCTTATCCTCCTCTTTAACGGGTGAGAAAAATCAAAGGTAGAGAAAGTAATTAACCTATCTGAAGTCACACAGATTGCCAGAGATAGACCTAGGACTCAAAAATCTCAAGATACAGAGAAGTTGGAAGGAAGCGTAGAGTGAATACCTGTATACTCAAAGTCTGCCTAACTCTTAAGTCTTTTATATCCATATTAGCCAACCAGAAGTTACTAGATTTACCAGGATAGGAATGTAGCCAGGACAAAACAATTCTGAAAATATTTGTGATTCTAGAATGGACAAAATCTCATCTTCAAAGTTAATTATGTTTACTCAAATGAGAGGAGCACTCCTCCTTTTTGATGCTTCCCAAGCTTTCAGTATTCTCCAGGTTTTCTTTGGGCTATTAAATTCAGCCAGAATAATACATAAGTAAAGTTCTGGTTGGTGTTAGGGCTTCTGTCCCTTTGTGTCTCTAAGATGACCTAAGGAAGCAGGTAGTCTGATTGAAAGGTGCTGTGACAGAGGAGGAAGCTCTGTTGTTGACTGCTGGCAGTCTTCCTTCCCTCTCCTACAGAGCTGGGTGAGGGACAGCACGAGAGAAAATCAAGTTCAGTACACAGCTGCCGTTCTGAGAAGAAGGAGGCGGTGGGTGGGGATGGTGGTGTGTGGAGAGGGAACAGAGGTATCTGTGATCCGTCCTTCCCCTCTCTGGGACTAAACCTTTGTCAGCTCTACAAAATCACTGAACCTTAAAGCTAGAAGGGATCATAGAGATGATCCACCTAGACCTCCTCGTTTTACCCCTGAAGAAACAGAGATCCAGCAAAACTTCCGAAGCTGGCTAATGGCGGAACTCAGAATCCATCATGCTTCCCACTCCACCGTGATATGATCCCACCTGTTCAGTCATGCATCATTACTTCAAAGTGCGCTGAGTACTGCCAGGCACTATTCAAGAGGCCAGAATTGAGTTAGCTCCATCTCTGCCCTCAAGGGGCTTACAATCCAGTGAGAATAATGATAGGCCTGTTTATTGAACACCTTCTGGTGCTTCACATGCACTATTTCTAGTCTACTCAACATTTTAAGTTAAGCATGATTGTAGGTTCAGAGAGGTTAGTGGGCACAAAAGTTAATGTGCCCAAAGCCACATTATTGGTAGGGCCGGGATTTGAACTAATATCTGTTTGACTCTAAATCCTATACTTGTTCTGCTGTGTAACACTTTCTCCTTAATATTATCAAATGTGTAGTAGAGGCATATATACTGTTCCTATAGCATGTTGACTCAGATATCTGTATGGCTTCTAGAAGATTAAGAAGTTATTTCTCTGGTACCATTCTTACCAGAGAGGAGACCATGAAAAAGATGAAGTTAAATTATGAAGAACGTGGAATTGACTTTCTAAAAAGGATTTAAAACAGTTGAGAGGAACATATATAGCACGTCAAAAGAGGGAATGGGGGCTGCCCGATGGCGTAGTGGTTAAGTTTGCACTTTTTGGTGGCCCAGGGTTTGTGGGTTCAGATCCTGGCATGGACCTAGGCACTGCTCATCAAGCGACGTTGTGGCAGTATCCCATAGACAAACTAGAGGAAGACTGGCACAGATGTTAGCTCAGGGCCAACCTTCCTCACTTAAAAAAAAAAAAAAGAAAAATACTTAAATAATGAAGGAAATTCAACAAAGCAACAATAAATGTATAAAGGGGAGCCAGAGCTGAGGCAGGACATAAAATGACGCGGGGTTAAGGAGATCTACCAGCTGGAGTAAAAAAACTGAGATGTATTTTCACAAAATAGTTCCCGGGACAAGAATGCTGATCTATCCTTATGCATAGTTTGTTGGTTAAGACTAGAAAACAGAAGTAGCATAGAGAAAGAATACAAAGCTGTTAGAGCTTCCTCTGCTCCATTCAATGGGTTTTAAAGGATTCTACTGGGTTAGACCTCCATGTTACACAGAGAGGTTCATTAAGTACCTTAATTACAGACTGTCTTAAACCATTAAACACACTTTACACTACTACAGTAGAATGTAGCTTTAATTAAGAGCAATATCTTTCTTAGGCAAGGCCCAGTTTTCAAAATTTACACGTGTAAGGCATTATTTGAGTTAACCATATGTTGACTATGGTGGCATTTTAGCTGGGCAGCAAAGGAGTAGGAGGGGCTGAAGGAGCCACATTCCAGGCAAGGATGAGAATGCTGGCTTCAGGGGTTTGGAGTCAGCAAACTGGAGTTTTAGATGCATTTTGGCCTAGTCAAGTTATTTCACATCTCTAAGTCCATTTCCTGATAACAAAATGGGGATAATAACTCCTTATAGAATTTTTGTGAGAGTTAAATAAAAGTAAATAGAAATGAAATGCTTGGCAATTTGATGCCTGGACACTATTGTTAATGAAGTAAAAACTACAGATTTCCCTCCTTCGTGATTAGCTGTTCTTAGTCCAATTTCGTCCAAGAGTTGTCTCCTTATCAGAGTCTAGTTAGAACCGTTGTAAGTGATAACAGACCAGCATCTGATGACAACGAATGAGACAATTCCATGATGATGTCCTTTGCTTTGTCCGAATAACGTCACTGTACGTCACAGACTGGGTTCCCTGGAGCACAGTGCACAGGATGTGTATTAGGAGCTGCCCTTGGGATCAATATCTGAGGAAGGAAGCAGGTGTGGGCCGAGGGAGAAGCTGTGATGCAGGCCTCACAGCAGCTTCAGCCTACTGGGAGTGCTGGAGCTAGAATGGCCCTTCAGAACTGTGCCAAGCTGGACTGAGCCAGCCTGGCCTTTAGACTCCCACATCAGTCAGTCAAGGCATGTGGGAAGGGGAGCGACCTTCGTCATGGGGGCCCTCCACAGCTGAGGAATCCCTGACCTCCTTCATGGAAGCGGGTCTGGACAGCACACCGCTGTCTACGCACTGCATCCTGGGAAGATGAGCTCTTTCTCTGGTGGCTTTCCTGTCTTTCCAGACACAGGGAAAGCGAACATCATCAAGTTCCTCTAATTCTTTTATTAGCAGTTCCTGGGAAGATTGAGAGAGACTTGTAGGGAAAGTGTGCAATGGTTTCCCAAGGAGAGGGAGTTATCTATGTTCTCGATTACAGAGCAACTCCCAGTTCTGAGTGACTTAATCAGAGGAGAAGGACAGAATGCAGACAGGCTTCACACAACTGTGTCAAAGGAATTTGAGCAAAGGCTGAGGTCTTCTAATGGGGAAAAAGTATGGAAAGCACAAGTTCTGAGAGATTTCAAGTCCATCAAGTTGCATAGGCGTAACATATTCCAACATCCTTAAAATTATGAGAGCAGAGCCGGCGCGGATGGCCTAGTGGTTAAAGTTCAGGGCTCTCACCACTTCCGCGGCCTGGGTTCATTTCCTGATTGCAGAACGACACTCCCCATCTGTCAGTTGCCATGCTGTGGAGGCATCCCACATAGAAGAACTAGAAGGACTTACAACTAGGATATACAATCATGCACTGGAGCTTTGGGGAGGACAAAAAAAAGGAAGATTGGCAACAGATGTTAGTTCAGGACAACTCTTTCCTTGAAAAAAAAAGATTATGAGGGCAAAGGTGGTGCATTCTAGCTTAGGAATTGAGGGTCCAGCTTCAAGTGGAAATTACCTAAGTGGCGGAATACAAACAGCAGCAGCCTCTTGCACAGGAAAAGCTTAAAAAAGTGGGGAGGAGGGGGCGCTAGATTCTTTAAACTCTCCCTTAGAAAGGAAACTCTGAAAATTTTAGTCTCTGGAGATATTACTGATGAAATGTACCTATCCTTTTTGTCTTAAATCAAGTGAGGAGGCCCAGAATTGTCCAAATAACTGTAGTCTTCCATGAAACTCTCTTCTCCTTATATTAACAGGAAGAAGGAAATAGACTTCTCTTCAGGGTACTACAGCCGAGGAGAACATGAGCATTGTGAGTCTCTGGAGAGGCTACTGAATAACTCTGCGGCGAAGCCCACAGAGCTACTGCAGAGGATGGATGTTTCCCTCTGAGCAAAGCAGACACGATCATCAAATCTGCTTTGCCAAGTATTTATTTGAATCTTCATTTCAAGGCTGAGGAATCAGTAATTCACCAGAAAAGAGAAAAAGAATTAATTAAACTAAATCTAAGCCATCTTACATAACAAAATACCACGAAATAGCTTGTATAAGAACTGCTGGGGTCTTTTCTAGAACTTGTTAATTTGGTCTTTTGGTGATCACTACTGGCCAACAAACCTACCTATTACACCAGCGTAGTATTTGTACTTTGTAGAGGAAATTCAGAGAGGGCTGAAGAGAAAAACAGTAGAGTAAGTCCTGCCAACTAAATAAAATGGCGCCTGTCACAACATCAATTTGTGTAAAATGGCAAAAGAACATCTAATATACAGGCCTGTCAACGAACGTCTAAATAACAGGGCTCTTCTCGGCTACGTCTGCGCGTAGGTTTACACTTAAAATACATGTGTCTAGGAACTCAGAAGAGTTGAGGGTTGAGTTGGAGCTGCCATTGATGTTTCTCACATTTGAGCTCCAGTTCATGACACACTAATCGTGCACTTATTACAAGTGCTGCCTTCGCATCACCCCTGACAGGACAGAAAAGAGAGGCATACATCCTGCTTTGTGGGCCACCTATAATTATGGGTTTGCATCAAAAGCAAAGAAAAGTCATGTCATTGGTCTCATTTAGAAGCACAACAGGCTCAAAGCCTTTGAGAGTGAAAAGTGTGGCACAGCGTGGGAGAGGATTTCTGTACAGAAAATTATCAAAGCCATGATTGTAACATTTCTATTCCCAAATCCGTATGAGCTCCTCTGAAAAAAAGAACATGATGTAGCTAGACCTCCAGGAAAGTTGGTGATATCTGTGCCACCGTAGGCTTGTAGAGTTCACTTAGCCTAACAGACGGAAAGATGCTAAAGTTTGGAAGAATAATACTAGCCCAGTGCTGGAATAGTGTCCATCTCATGCCAGACATGGGACAAATTGGATCAAACTGAAAGAAGATACAGGGAGTCAACACATCTTCCCTCTCAAGAGAAGGATGTAGTGTTGTGGGAAGTAAAGCGAATCCTGGAAATCTCATTGGTTGAAGTTTCCAGATCTGTAAGGATGAGGGTTAGAGGCATAGGCAGGTTTGGGAAAACATCACACAGTCCTTTACTTTCTTCTCCCGCTCTCTTAACATAAAACCTTTTTTAAGGGCAATGCCATAGGATGGTTTATCTCAGTTTTACATCATTCTTTATGATGGATCTTCCAGCTGTTTCCTTTTGAGAAACTTTAAGCTAATCACATTGCAACGTTCAAGAGATTTCCCTGCTTGGATGTTTGTATTTCTTGCCTTCGTTTTCATTCTTACATTCATTTTGGTTTCCTTAAACCATTCTAAATAATCTCCCTCCCTTAGGTTAGGGGTTTAACGATGTGGTAAAATAATTGTAGACCCACTTGAATTATCACTGAGAGAATGACAGTACACAAGTCTGTAACACACACACACACACACACACACACACACACTCTGGTTCCCTGCCATGTCCAAGTGGCAGTTTTTATCTGTTGGGTCTGCTAGGATTGTCAACCCTCTACCTCCTTTCAAATGAGTGAATGCAGCAAAAACTCCCTCGCACGTTTCCAGGAGAGGCTCCCACACTCTTGCATCGTTGCGTCACTCCTATCTTCTCTGCTGCATGCACTCCTGAACATGACAGCGTCTTTCTCCACAGAATAAACACATGGGCAGCAAAGGTACTAAGAAGAGCTTTATAAGCAGGGGGAGACTGCATCGAGACTAATCGTCTTTTGGAGAGCCATTTTCGGAAAGTAATGCCACCACCTTTTACTGCTGAATAAGCTCAGAGAACTTGAGTGGGACTGAAACAGGCTGGTGGCTGAAGTCAATATTTCTTTAGAGCTAGGCTTTTCTTTCTAGAACTGCTGCTTCATGCTCCCGTTTTGATGAAATACAAAGGTGCAAGAGAGGTGCTTGGCAAAACCGAGTCCACCAAAACAGTGAGTCCAGAAGCAAATGCATGAAGCTCTCTATGCCTCAGTATAGTCACCTGTAAAATGGGGATAATAACGTTTACCCTGTAAGAATTCAATGAGAGAAGCACCTAAAACTCAGTGCCTAGCACATAATGAATACTGAGAAATGTTTGCCTCTAATTAGCACAGTAGGCTTATAGTTCATAAACCTTTCTTCTTTCCTTCCATTTCTTCCATGTAACAAAGCTGTGAAATAGGCAGGAGGAATTCTACCCATTTTAACAGACAGGGAAGCTAATGAGGTTAAGTCAGTGGTCCGTGGTCATACAGGGAGTAAGGGAGAAAGCTAGTACCTGAGTCCAGATTTTCCGCCTCAAGATCCTAGGTTGTTTCTACTATCCACAATGCCTCTGGAGCCCCTAAGCAGTAGGAATAATTTTCAGGGGCGATTCTGGGGGTTAGACATCAACACATGTTCATATATGGTGGGAGCAAATCACTTAAAAGTCAGGGCTTCCAAGCGAAGTAGCAGAAGCAGGTGGAAACACAGAGAGGATTTATACAGAGAATTGAAAACCTGCAGCGCACTGAGGAAATTTTTTATTTGAAATTTATAATACCCTGGAAGAGGATGGTGCTCAAATGATGGGCATTTCTCAGGAGGTTAGTGGCAGCTTCCATGCGGTAAGAACGGGGCCTCTAAGGTCCCCCTGGTGAATTTGTGAGCTTGACCTGCTGTTCTCATCCAGGGTGGATGGAGGGCCTTGCGGGGGCTGGGCAGGAGCACAGAGACTGCGCACAGCTGTAGAGAGAGTTTAAGCAAGGCAGCAGCCAACATTTCCCATGCAACGTTAACCTGTTGGATTATGGGATTTTCACTGGTCAGAGCCTCACGGTGCTTTTTATGGTGTTCCCTAAATTACTGCTTTAGATTTCAGAAATTTTATGTGGGAACAAGGCACTGCAGTGAGCTCATTGGAAACAGATCTTGAGCAGTCCGTTTAGGACTATAGCTTGGTCCGAGAGGCAGTAATAGAATATCGGCACGGGCCTGGACAGGCATATTTTCAGTTTTATTAGAATCCAAATGGGCCACAATTTTACTTCTTTTAAGGCCAATCTGGGGCAAAGGCAGGTCTCTTTACACTGGTTTGGTACTCACAGCCTCTTCTCCTCCCCTTGCACTCCCAGGCCCCACGCTTAACCCCCACCCCACCCATTCCTCCTCATCCTACCCTTTTGTACCCCTCCCCCATACTAGCTCTGGTTGAGGTGGTCAGGACAAGGTAACAGCTACGTTAAATATGATCTGAAATAGTTAGTGGCTTTCCTTTCCCTGCAGCCTCTTTCTATTCTCCGACAGAGAATTTTCCCTTTAGCAGAACATGGTAAGAATGTTGGAAAAATAATTTTTGCATTTTCTCACCTGAAGACACTCTGCCATCTCCCCTCTCATGACACAGGAACCCCAGGTGCAGTACACTAAGCTCCACTCTCCGTATTCGGGCTCTTTCCTGTAGGGTTGCCAGATAGAATACAGGAAGCCCAGTTAAATTTGAACTTCAGAGAAACAAGAATAATGTTTTAATACAAACATGTCCCAAATATTGTAGGGGACATAGGAATACTAAAAAAATTATTCATTGCATAGTTGAAATTCAAATTTAACTATGTATCCTGTATTAATTTTGGCTAACTTTGACAACCCTATTTCTCTGGGAAAGTACCTACGTAAGCTTACTGAGTAGAAAAGAGAAGAATGCTGGTAATTTAAGTTTTTTTTTTAAAAAAATTGAACAATATAAGAAAATTATTAAAGACAATTTTTCATGGAAAGAAAAATCAGTGCATAATATGGACTGTTTCAAACATACACACACAATTTTCATTTTTGTGTATTCCCTTCAAGTCTTTGTCCCTGTATGTTTTTATTTTTTATGGAAAAGGACGTGAAACTGGAACAGGTTCGCTGTTTATTTAATAGTATCATACTAATGTTAATTTCTTGTTTTGATAGTGAACTATAGTTTCATAATTTAGCATCAGAGGAAGCAGGGTCAAAGGTTATATGTGGAGTCTCTATACAATTTTTGCAAAACTCTTCAAGTCTCAAATTATTTCAAAATAAAAAGTTAGAAAACAACAACAAAATGAAAATCAAGTACAGCTGTCCCCACCACAAGAGGCCACTTCACAGTGTCACGTGCTCACCACCGCTTTCCACCGCAACACACGCAACGCCGCATGAGACAACCAACCCTCAGCCTTAGCGGCCCGGTGCCTAGGGCAATGGCTGGCACATCAAAGTGCTCAGGAAATGTTTTCGTTTGTTGTACTAGTTTAGTCACTAGATGACAATGTACTATTTTTAGTGACTTGACTCGGTTAATGAAGGCTTCTGTGGTGGTGAGACGATAGACGGTCTTTTTTCAAGCTGGCCTAAGTCAGTGTGGGACTCTCGGCCTGGGCTTCCTGGGCTGCAGCCACGAGAACACTGAGAGCTCTAATTTTATTTTCCTAATCAGATCCAACTCTGCTATTAATTTTATGCCTGTAAGCAATGCCAGCTTGCCTTCATCATGTGGCCACTCAGAATCATATTCAAATACAGGAAATGCCCATTTGTTCCTGTAGGTGCATTTTTAGACAGTGCCTTATGAAGGGTGGAGTTGTGAAGCTCTGTTCTCCAAATGTCAAGCCTTTCAAGCACAGCAGGAAGCTACGATCCCCTAAAAGGCAGCCGGGCACAGCAGCCATCCCTGAGTCACCTGCATTAGCCCACCTGTTCTCTGATCTCTGGTGGGCCACTGTCCCGTTCCTGGTTCCTGCTCACCTCTGTCTCAGTTCCCTCCCCTGGAAAGATGGAGAGGGTGACACCGCAAAGCAAGGTTGTGGTCTGGATTCGATAGAACAACGTGCCACACACAAAACATACAGAAGCACTTAACAAACGCTCATTTCCTTGTTTCCTTCAGTTTCTTCTGGGCCACAGAAGCTTCTTAACCCAATGACAACAGATGTGAGGGCTTGACACTAAACAATGCTCGGTATAACCCCAAAGCTACAAACTAGATGTTCAACTCAAGTGGTAAAGTGGTAGGTTCCAAGATCTATTAAAATTAAAAATTTGATTATGTAAAGTGCCCTAACGAACTATAAACTGAAATGGGTAAACAGTTAGCCATTGATGATTAAGTAGCTAGTAACTAAAGTTTTTTTTCCTTTTGCAATTACTGATGATAGCTTTTAGCTGTACCCCCACCCATTGTTAACTCTGCTGCTCAGGCAATATGCTCTCTGACTCCCACTAGGCTCCTGTAAAGAACATCTCCCTGCAGCCTGGGTCACCATGGTAATGGGTGTGTGAGCTGTTTTTCAGGAATTAGAACCCCCTTGTCCATTCCAGGCTGGTTGAGACCGCCAACCCATCAACCGGGCTCTCACAGATGTCTGATAAATGACCTTTTGACATCAAGAGGCTGAAAACTCCACCGTCAGATCATGCTAATGCTGCCATTTTATGAACACATGTCCTATGAAGAGGCATGAAGTCTGACTACGCTTGCGCAGATCAATGACCTCACCTCCAATCACCTCTCTCCACATTTCAGACCACCTTGCCCCCTACTCCATAAATACCCCTGAGTCCCTATTTTTGGGGAGGCAGATTTGAGACTTATTCTCCTATTTCCTCACTTGGCTGCCTTGTGACTAAACTCTCTCTGCCTCAATCTCATCGTCTTGGTGTTTGGCATTCTAGGTGATGGGCAAAAACGAACCTGGTTCAGTAACAAAACTCTGGAAACAACACATAAAAATATAAATATATCAGTATTATAAATCTGATCAATAGGAAATATTCTGATGGCAATAAGCATCAATTAAATATTTCTTGGGCAGTTTTATTTGTCTTTTATAGGAAGTTTTTCAAGAGACAGTTTGCACAATTCAGGTCTCTTAGAGAGTTGTTAGAGCATATTTGGGATAATGACTTCTT